GGAGCAGCGCTGGCTGGTGGAGCCGCAGGTAAGCGAGGGGGTGGCCCAGCCCCTGCGCGGGGCTGGCCTCCGGGGGCGCCTTGCAGCCGCTTCGGGGGGTTGGACGGAGAAAAGCAGCCCCCGCGCTCTGGGTGGCAAGGTCGGGAAGCCGGGGTTTCGGATCCACCCACTGCGCCCTGGGAGTTACTGCCCATCTCTCTCCCGTCATCGCCACCGCGGGAGCTCGGGGATCGTGGTTCGAGCCTCCGCTTTAGCCCAAGGGGCCTCGGAAGTCCCAGGGGGAGGCGGTTCTCGCTACATTTCTGTGTAGACAGCCGCAGTGCTTCATTCATTTCCTGAATAGTGAGGAGCGTGAGACCAAGACCCCGGAGATCCTTCAGATTAGCGGGAAGGCTCGTCTGGGAGCTCACAGGCCTTGGCGCTGGTCATTGTCACAATTTTTAGGGGGTGGATGGGCATTTTCATGCCCATTTTGCAAAAGGGGAGATCAAGGCTCAGGGGCAAGAAGAGATTTGGGGAAGACCACCCAGCCGGTAAGCTAGGGCAGGCCTTTTGGCTAGAAATTCACTGCCTTTCTACTAGGGAAAAGATTCCCCTCTGCAGAGCCCCCCCCCCCAGCCTGAAAACCCTTCCCTATGCACACAACATCGAGTAAATTCTACCTGAAGTTGTGTTGAGGTAGGACAATAAAATGAAGGTTTAGGTTTTTAGAAATGAATGGGATGGTTACAAATAACGTGGAAACATTGGCTACCTTCAATTAATGCAAAGGACAAACCTGTTTTTCCTGACTCTTTATGTCTGTGTTATCAGACCACTTGGAAATCATGTCAGCTCTCAAGGTATTGTGTCATGTTTGGTGAGGGTGACCAAACACTCCGAGAGGCCCTGCTGAGCCTTACGTAGCACGATGCTGCCCCACCTCAGCTCAGCCAGCCTCCCCTTTGGTCAGTTCTCCATCTCTCACCAGCCTCCCACCTGCCCCTGCACCTGCCCCAGGGGCCGAGTCCACCCCAGCTGGCAGAGGAGCTAGGCCACTTAACCTCCCCATTCATGGTGGCCACAGCTGTGCAGGACCACATGGGTGAACTGGAGACCTGCTTTCAGGTGCTTCATTCAGGACCCGGGGGTGTGATCTCTTGAATCTCATTCAGATATTTCTAGCTCTGAGAGTTTGGCCAGGGCTCAAGCAATCTGCACCTCAGTCTCCTTACCTTTTCCACCTCCATTCCCCCTCCCTCACCTGCTGAAGTCAGAACCTATGAGATCAGGCATGTGCAAAAGCCTTTGTAAGTTGTGCACACTTAAGACATATAGTATGTAAAATTAGTTCGCCCCAGCTGCACCCCGAGCGCTCTGTACTGTCCTCCAGCTCATTAGGCATTGTGATTGTGGGCCTGTGAAGAAAAGAGATGATCTGGCCTTTTCTCCTTGAGGAGCTCATGGACGCCTTGGGAAGACAGAACATACATGTGAGGAAGACACAGGAATGCACGCTAAATAAATTTCAGTTCAATTCAATTCAGAACATACTTGGTAATCTCCTACTGTGCACCAGGCACTTAGGGTGCCAGGAGAATAGAGTGTAGCTCTTGAACTCAGAGGCTTTCTGGTCTGCAGGTGAAGCATGCTGGGTGGAGAGGTGGCTTATATGAGTTTTTCCATTGACTAGCTGTAAACTTGGAGATAAGAACAGGATGGCTCTGAGGAATAAACGAGTTACTATAGACAGTGTTCTCTGAGAGGTGCCTGGCACCTGAGTACTAGGTCCTTGTGACATAAGCAAAACCCCATAATTTAATAAAGGTAAACAAAGTCCTATTATAATTAATCTGTCTTGGAGGTGATAGGGGAGAACCTTAGGGTCGGGGTGACATTTGTGCTGTGCCTGGAAGGATGAAAGCAGAATGCAGAAGGGAGACTGGAGGAGGAAGGCGTTAGGAGCGGAGGGAACATCACAGGAGAGAGATGAAGATTAAGGGATTAGTGATTAGTGTAGGGAGTGGTTGGAGCAGCTGTAAAGTGCATGGATTACAGTCTACTCACGTGTTCAGAATGAAGGGGAATAATGGAAGGGAGGGGTCAGGTGTGAAGGAGTAATCAAGGAGGGCGTAGGGAGGCAGCAGTTATTGAAGGAATCACAAAGGAGCAAGGTTCGGCAGAGAGGAAGCAGACAGACCCTCACCTCGCCCTGAGCCTCTTGGGGGTGGGAGCGGGGAATGAGGAATGGGGACTGAGGAGATAAAAGAGCTTGGGGAAATAGTTGCAAGTGGCAGCCCTAGAGGTGAGACATATAGCAGTTCGGGAAAGTACAGGAGCCAGAGTTCTTAGCTGGGGAGGTCGGAATGATCACAGTGGCTGATGCCTCCCTCTGCAAGATGGACTTGTGTCCCCCTGACCCCCTCCCTTCCCTTCCCACTACAATGTCAGGTGAAGTCGGCCAGGAGCCAAGGGCTATCGGGAGGGGGGAGAAGCTGCAAGATGAGATGCAGGCGGGCTCTGGAGCACACTGCAGCAAACCTGACCGCCCTGCGGCCTGCTCCCCAGGCTGCCTCACTGCCAAGGTCCCCACTGCAGAAAGACGCCCAGGGCTCAGCGTGGACTTCTGGCTGCTTCAAAGCTATTTGAATTCTGAGTCACCTGTGCCCACATCACCTTTTAATGAGGTCAGCGTTACAGAGAGGCTGAGCAGACAGGGGAGGAAAGGCAGAGGCCAAAGGAGCTTTGGGCTTGCCTTTGGTTATGAGTCAGGCAGGGCTGCGCTGGCCCTGGGGCTCCCAAAGCCCGGTTCAGTAGCTTTCATGGCTGTCCTGCAGTTTCTCTTTGAAAAAACAAAACCCCTAAATTGAAGGATATAGAAACTGAGTCACTCTTATACTTAAAACCTTTAAAGTATTGGCTGCCCCACACCTGCAGGACAAAGTTCACCCTGCAGAATACAGTTTACAAGGCCCCTATGCCCTGTCTCCAGCCCCAGGCTCCTTTCCTGCTCCTCCCCATTCTCACATGTGGGCTTCTAACTATCCAGCTGCCTTGAGTGCCCCTCCTAAAGCGTGCTGTGTGTTACATCGTTTCTTTGCTCAGGCTCATTCCTTTGCCCCGTGTGCCCTTTCTACACTGCCCGCATCCTGCTCCTCACTTCTTCCTCCCCTACTCCAGCCTGTAAAACTGCCAAGGTGTCACCTTTTCCCGAAAGAATTGCCCACCCGAGTTAGGTCCATCCCTCAGCGCTCCTATAATTTCTCTATTTTTGTACTTCCCACGTTGGTTTATGATTACCTGCTTATGTGTCGGTCTTCCCAACGTGAGCCCTGAGGACTGCACCCTACTCATGCTTGTATTCTGAGTGCCCAGGATGTAGAAAGCACTCAATAAGTATTGAATAACATAATTTGATATTAGGGTCAGGCAGGCAGAGAGCGGGTGAGATGTTCAGCTTGGGCTTTCTTGGTGGGGAGCTTACTGCTGCAGCAGCTTGTCCTGTAGCTGGCCAGTGGCCACTGCTACAAACATAGCCCATGTGCAGAGCTGGAACCTTCCTTGCAGTCCACCCCATCAGTCCTAGCTCTGTCCCAAGTGATCTGGATCTCTGCTCTGGATAACCTCCTTAGTGTCAGACACACGACCCCATGTCTGCCCGTGTTGGGGGAACTTAAATGGACTCTTCTGAGGAATAGAATGAGAGCTTTAAAAGGGAGCAGAGAAAACACAGCTGCTTAGGTTTTCTTGTTGTTAATCTCCACCCAAGGATTTTTTTTCCATTGATTTTTAGAGAGAGTGGAAGGGAGGGAGAAAGAGACAGAGAGACAGAGAAACGTGAGAGAGACACATCGATTGGTTGCCTCCTGCACGCACCCCGACGGGGCTGGCAATCCAACCTGCAACCCAGGTACTTGCCCTTGACTAGGAATCGAACCCGCGACCCTTTGGTGTGGTGCCGGAACTCTAACCACTGAGCAACACTGGCCAGGGTGAACTGTCTTAGCTTTTATATGGAATGTGGTCACCTTTAAATTGAGAATGAGGAGAAGGCAGAAAGAGAGAGAATATGTGTTCCCATTCTCATGATGCCAATGAGGTGGAGGCTTCTAGTCATGACTCCAGAGACCTGAGAACTGGGTTCTAGTTTAGTACAGGGAGCCTCAAACCATGTAGTTTCTCAACTCCTTTCCACTGATGGAAGAATTTGTGGATGAAGTGCCAGTAATGCCTTTCTGAAGTACATTGTCAATTCATGCTAGAAGCTAACATAATACCCTATCATTTTATAAATGTGAATACTGGAAGGATATGTATGGTTTTATATTCAGCTTATACTTATTTAATCTTGCAAAAATACTGTGAGGTAGATACCATTTACTTCATTGTAGAGGTGAGGAAACTGGCTCAGAGAGGTTAATTGATGTGCCCAAGGTCACACAGCTTGGATTTGGACTCATGACTATTTGCTCCTAGTCCATGCTCTCTCCTTACCATATTCTCTTACCTCACAGTAGATCCACTACATTAATGGTGGTAGGAATTTAATGCTTATCTTTTATGGGAATCTTAATTCCTACTCCATTTCTGTTTCTCAATAGTTGAATTAAAAGTGAGAGCACATACGTGGTCACATTGGTGTTGATGTAGTTTCAGTGGAACTACAGTGGAAGGGACATTCTGGTGAACTGCAAAAGCATCCTCCTAAAGTGCCCAGTGAGGTCACATTTCAGATCTGAGTAAATGCATGTGAAGAGTTGTCACAACTTAGAACCTTAAGTTCTTGATCTTTAATTTCCACCAATGTCTATGGCCGTACCACCCTGAACACACCCAATCATGTCTAATTTCCACCAGTGGCTTCTTGCCTACACACCCTAGAACTGTTAGACACACTGTCAAATTTATTCCAACATCAGTCCTTTTCTCATTGTGTCAGAGAACAAATAGATAGTAGACGTCATACACTTACATTTCTGTGTAAGGGATGCAGCAGATAGGACAATTCTGATTCTTACTCCCCAGTTAAGAGACTCAAGTTCAGGTTCC